GTAAGGCATTATGAGCATGGCCACTGAAAGAGAAGTTCCAAAGTTTGCCTAGTATGGTGACAGACCACTAATGCCAAAACTTTGCACCTTACTGTGGTTACTGTCTTATTGTAAGTCACACTTAGTGCTTGAATGTAAGGGCTTGCTTTATATAATAGGCGACTCTCCTTTATCCATGTCCTGCTTCTGTCTGCACTTCTTGCTTGCTGCCTTTTGCTTCTCTTCGGCATTTTTTATGATAATTAGCTCTTGCTGCTGTGAATTCTTGGACCTGGGAGAGAAGGGTAGCAGCAGTGGGATACATAAAACAGGTTTTGGGATGGAAGATGTATTTTGGTTTTGGCCTACCACATAGAGCCGTGTCCACTAGCTGTCCAAGAGTGAAGGCCATAGATCTCTGCCCTTTGAGTCCAGCTGGAATTACTGGCTTGCAGTCTTCTGAATCTGAGCCTAGTCCTCCGGTCTAGTTCCCTCCAACAGTTGCATGTAACAGTTTAGTTTGAGGTGTTGGAACACTGGTTTTTGGTTTTTTTTTTTTTTTTTTTTTAGGAGTGGGGAAAATGGGTGACCAGATGAGGTGGAACAATGTTTTTTGAAGGTCTACAGTTGTCCTGTGGTGTGAGCTATATGGTGGAGAGGGATGGCTTTGGAATGACTGAGAAGACTTCTAAGGCAGGAAGCGTGAAAGGTGTGGGGAACTCTGAGTGTGTTTGGAGCCTTTATACCAGGAGGAATGGAAAACTTGGTGCTCTGAGGCTGAAGACTGAGTTTCAGAGGAACTTGGAACATGGGGGTTTGGTTTACCCTGTAGGTGCTTCTAAATTATGTTTGACCAGACTGTTCCTCTTGTTCTCCCATGCACACTCAAAAGGACAATTGCTCTGACCAGAAGTGGAGATTGCTGAAGTGGCGTGTTCAAAATGAACAAATTCATTGTCAAGTTTGACTATACATTGAGGAGTTAATTAAATATGGTCCAATGTGCCAAGTCACATTAAAAAAAATGGTGAGATAGTACAAAGCATGTATAGGTCAACAAGTAAAATTAATACGAGGTAACATTTCCTTGTTAACAGCACTTTGGAATTAAGCTACACATCCTTAGATCTCCACTGCTAAAGCAATGTAGGAAGTTGTCTTTTTTTCCCCTCAGCAGTACCAGCAAGATAGTAAACATGTGGGGATGTCTTGTTGTCATTTGTGGCAAATGTAGTACTGAGCTCCTAAACTAACTTCAGTGCCTTTATGCTGAATGCCATAGCCTTAACCCTTTCCTTCCGAGTAGTGATCTGTGACCTGTGTGTTCCCTTGCAGCTGCCTGGCTGACAGTTTTATTAGCTAGTAGTGAACCCAGGGTCCAGCTGTGTTCCTGGAGAGTTAGACTTAAACTCCAGAGCCATTTCCAGTCAAACGAGAAAACTGTTTCGCTTGTCATCTTGTACATTGTGTGCTTGTCTCTCAATACATATAAATGAAGAAAGGAACTCTCCTGTAGACTGTAAAGACTCAAGAGTGATTTTTTTTTCTGTCTTAAAACACTTGTGGGTTTCCGTATTACAATAATGTGGGAATTAGATGATATAAGTACTAAGTGTAAAGTATGTTTTTGCCTGAGTGGCATAACTTAATTTGGATTTTGGACTATCTACTTTCAGATTAATAGTCTTCATTGAGAGCTTAGTATCTTGCTAGCTTGGACAGAATTTCTGCTTGCCTATAGATGATTTCTGCCCTCTCCCTCTAGTTTTGTGCAGTTGACTTAATGCCTGTGCTTTTTTTAAGGTGAAACTTGCTCTTAATTCAGAATAATTTTAAAAATCTTACAAAAGAAAACAAAACCATTTTTTTTCCCCATTGTAATCACTGAGGTCTGAAAGGAATTACTGTGCATCCAGATAGTTTCTTTCCAGTACTCTGGTACAGTTAGAATATGATGTATTGGATTTATTAATTTTACTAGAACTGCATACTGATATTTGTTAATCAGGGTCTAGCTCTGTACCACGATCTGGCAACTCCATTATTACTTTGTACAATCAAATGTATGAAGTTGGAAGTTCTCTTTCCACCTTTTTCCTTGTGTCTTGAGCTTGTTTTGTTTTTGTAAAGTGCTTTGAAAGGCTAGTTTTTTGGGGGGGGGTAATATTTACCCTTATATATCAAACTGACTTGTGGCTGAACTGTTTTAAATTTTGATATTTGCTATTTGTTTCAAATCAATGAAAATTCAAGTCCAAATTAATTTATTGCAGCTTTTCAAATATTACTATTTTTTCTCTAAGCATGGGAAAACAGTCCATCTTTGGACAGCATACTCCTTTGCACTTACAAGGAGTTAAACTAGGCATATTACAGTTTTTTTAATTGTTAATTATGTTAATCCGTTTTACAAATAATTTCATCATCTGCTTGTAAAACTTCTGCATACTTCTGATGTTTTAGTAAGGTTGTGACCATGTGGTTCTAAATCATTGCAGTCTCAAAAGTCTGACATACAGTGAATTGTGGCATATATTTGAAAATTTAAACTTTTCTATCTTGGTCTTGTTTTGATAACAAGTTAGTTTGGTTCATTTTTCCTCTAGGGTTTCAGTTTGACTTCAACTCTCCAAAATCAGTGTTTACTAACCCTATAGACATCATTTTGGTCTCAGTTAGCTTTGCTAGAATCAAGTTTACTGAAAAGCAGGTGTGTACAGTATTAAAGTTCAGTGTGGAAAAACCTAAAGTTTATATGGTGGCATTACATTCTAGTGTAGTCCTAATATAATCAGTTGGTAATTGGCTTTAAGATGCTCATTTTCCTGCATTTTTTCATACATTGATTTCCACATATTTTAGTTTTATACTTCTGATTTATAGAGAGATTGTGTACATTGTGTACAATGCTGAAGGGCAGATACAGTTGCAGTAGCAGACATGGCCTCTTAGCTCAGCACTTGAAACCACTTCAACACTGTCTGTCCTCACAGCACAAATCTGATGGAACCATTGCATGGGCTCGCGTTGACTTCTGTACTGCAAGTTGGGCCCTGACTTTAGCAAAAAGAGCAACAAAACTTAAGCTTTTGAAAAATGCTTCCTAAAAAATAACAACTTTGCGCATGTCTTTCCACTCCTCAAAATCTTAACCAGGTTGTTTTGATACAAAGGGCTCATTTAAAATCCTCACACTTCACTGCTCATCAAAGTTCACAGTGAGAACACACGTGTAAAATCTCTTGAAAGTCTTCTGTGCTTTCTCACTGTGGCTGAAGTTGAATTTGATGGTGGTGTGTATAACTTTAAGTGTGTTTCATAGGAGGGGAGACATTGAGGCGCTGTTGAGAATCAGGCTTTAGGATTTCCTTGGTGGGACATCTGGAGCCAGCTGCAAAACAACTAGGGGACGGTCTGTGCACAAGACCAAGTCAGAATGCTATTCATTATCCCTTTGACTCAGATGGAAGAGAAAATAAATAGTAGGTTTTTGGAGATACATCTGTGTTTCTCCTAATTCTGCTGGTGGGCTATGGTTCCAGTTCACAGTTCCCACGTTTTCTGTAGGTGGTCCTCACTACTGCCATCTCCATTCTGGCCTCAAGCCATTGCTTTTTCTCCTATGTGACTGTTGCACACAGCAGCTTGGCCTCCTGCCCTCACTTCTGTCGGTGTCAATGCAGAACCCAAGCTTGGTAGAACTTTAGTTTCATGTCACATCTCACTTTTAGTGTTGATGTCTTACTAGTAAGCATGCTTTCGTGATTGAATAGTAATATGGATGTCACCACAGAGAATTAAAGAGAGAATAGCTGGCAAGATCAACATACAGAGAACAGAAGCTTACAAAACAAGGGAGCTATGTCTTTCAGAGTAGTTACTGTATGCGTAGTTGAACTGTACTGTTTTTTGATGGAACGTGGTGGGAATGCCTATAACACAACTTTAACACTTTTTTTCAGAATTTGATGTGTTTGTTGTTAATGCAGTATGTTTGAGGGAGTTGAATTAGTTTAAAATATTTGGTAATTTAAAGTCTTTCAAAATTAATTTCCCATTTCTGAGATGCTTTGTCTGAAGGCAGGTGTTTTAAAAATAGGGAGAAACTAGATAGGCAAATTTGGAGTGAGAAGTGGGAGGGGTAGTAGGAGGAAGCGTAAGTTCTTGGAGTTCTTATGGAGGTTTTCCGCAGGTGAATGGAAGGAAGTAGAGGCAATATAAGGCTCTATTTTTGCATAAGTGCCCTTTTGGAACAGAACATTAACAATGGAGAGATGCTGAAATTTGGTGATAAGGTGAGGAAGAAGGTGAAGATGCTATATTTCTTAGCAATGAACTAGCCATTACTAGGACATCTGCGGGTTTAGTATTTTGGACACGTGGGAGCATTTGACAAAGGAATACAAGATTGTTATGATCCTCAGAGCAGTTGGAATGACTGAAAACTCACAATTCAGAGGAAAGAGAGGAAATGTTATGATGTGCTGTGTGTACAGTGGGGCTTGGAGTCTGTGTGAAGGAGGGCATGCCATGTCATTGTTTTTTATTTTACGGTTTGCATTCTATTAAGAAAGGCACTCTATGGTATAGAATGAGTCTGAGTATGTATCAGATGGAACCCAAGCATTGTGTGGAATAAAGATGCAGTAATTAAGGTTGCTTACTTGTCTGGGAACTAAGCAGGCACTAATGGTCAAGCACATAAACCGACGGCTCTGTCTAGGTAACTTTTGTTGTAAATCTTGATGTTAGTGAGAAGTAAGAGGGACTCTGGTTTAGAGACTGAAGCAGACCAGTCATGCAAAACCCGTTTCCAACACTAGATAAAAAACATGTACTAAACCAGATTTATGGAGACAGGTTACCAACCCAACTAGTTGAAGGGTTTAAAATTTTAAAATTCTGCCTTATATTGCTACCAAAACCAACCTTAATTTTGTGACTTGAATGCAAAATACTGAAATAAAATGAGGGGTTTTATTTAAGGTTGCAGATTTAATACTTTTCTTCTGTTTGTACAGCCTTGGCCCTTTGGTGAGTAAAGTGAAGGAGTATCAAGTGGAGACCATCGTAGATACCCTCTGTACAAACATGCTTTCAGATAAAGAACAGTTACGTGACATTTCAAGCATTGGCCTTAAAACTGTGATTGGAGAACTCCCCCCAGCTTCCAGTGGTAAGGCATTTTGTACTCAAGACTATCTAGTTTTATTGTTTCATTACTAATTAAAAGAATGCAAAAGCTGGGTCCTTTAGTGAAGAGGATTCAGTTCATTTAACATTGGAACTAATTTCTGTCAGGAAAAACGTATGGCACAAATTTTAGTTTCTTCTCTGACTGTATTTCCAGATTTTACTAGTTTGAAAACTTTTTTTACTAAAGAATTGCATTAATGTGAAAAACAAACTTAGAGTGTATGAACTTCAGTATAACAAATTGAGTGTAAAAGCTCCTATTTTAATAATTGCCTGGTGGAACATTTCTAGGCTGTAGTAATAGCTAAATTTCATCTTGCTTTTTGATTGATAGTATACTTTAAAATTGATTATAACTTGGGTATCTTTCTTTAATGATCCAATTTATTGTCTCAGTTTCTGGTAAGTGTTTTGGGAAGTACCTTGTGTTTTTAACAATCCCCTGTTAAATTACTGAAATACTTACCTGCAGTTTTAAATGAAGGTAGTCTTTCCTCCAAAAGAGATAGTAATAATGAACAGCTCATCAGTTAATGGCATTACTTTTTATTCAAGTGCTGTGCAGATATCATAGTGTAAGATATGAATGAGAATAGAGAAGTGATTAAAAAGGCTATGGAAATGCAGTTTTTAGAGTCTGAGGTTTCTTTAAAAAAAAAAAAAGAAAAAAGCTCTGACTTTAACATCCTTTATTGAAAGTCCAAATATAAGTCTTGCGTTTGTCAAGTAGTAGTGAGATGCATAAACTTTAAATAAATAACTAATTTTAAGTAAATCAGTTTAAGCTTTTATTCTTTTGTTTGCCTACACAAAGCAAAAGGAGATTTTGGGGTGGAGGTAAAGCTCAAACAAAAATGTAGCAAAATCTTTCAATATAATTAGTATTCCTAATACAAAAGGAACCTAGGTGTTATTTCTTGCTCTCAACTCCAACATAGATTGTTGTCTTTTTTCTTAACCTCTATGGTAATGCTTTTGACTGTCCAATTGTTATGTTTCGTTTTAGTCATAGAGTTAAGAATACCATAAATATATATAAACCAGATTTAATATAGGTTGGAATGGTATTAATTTCACATCGAAATTCCCAAAGTGTGATTAAAAAAACTTCATGCAAATGAAGATGAGCACTAGCCATTGGGTAGCCGTTACCATGACATTAGTTTCTTCTCTTCTCATAGTTACTCCGAACAATGTTAGACAGTTGGGGGAAGGGGGAACTGTGGAGTTGTGATAAAGACATTTTTACTTTAATTTTAAAATACTTTGGGTATACACCCCCCCCCCCCCCCAATGTTTTAGCAGTATTTCAGCTACATATTATTTAAGTAGCTTCTTGTGCAAAATCATGTTATTTTGCTTTTTTTGTTATACAGCTGTTCTTTAGAGGTGGTCCTATCTACTTCTGTGCTTCCTCTTTAGTTTATTTTTTTATTTTTACCTATGGTCTTTTCATTTATTGCTCTAGTCTTGTCTTGGCCTTCACTTTCCATTGCTTGCCCTGCCAAAAGCAGTGTCCTTTCTGTTGTATATACCTTATGGGACAATTAAGAGGGCCGCCTCCTCAGTATTTTTCTACATAGATAGTCTTTCAGCTCTAATGTAGAGCATACATTACGTTAGCAAACAAACTGGCTGTTCAAGCTTGTTTTGTTGGGTTGGAAGAGCTTCTCTGTGTTGAGATCAGGTTGCTTTCTGTAGTCACAAATACGATCTCTTGTGTTAAAAAGTGTATTTTATTTAATTATGAAAATGCTGAGGTTTTGTTGTGCTTTCAGGTTCTGCATTAGCGGCTAATGTTTGTAAAAAGATCACAGGGCGTCTCACTAGTGCTATAGCCAAGCAGGAAGATGTGTCTGTTCAACTGGAGGCGCTGGATATCATGGCTGATATGCTGAGCAGGTAAACATCCCTCTTCCAAAATGCTGGTGAATGCTGATAAATACTCCTTAAAGCTTGAACTTTAATTTTCAAAATGTTAAATTTAAATTACTTTATGTGAAATCCTATGGTAAGGTATTAAGTATAGGTGAAACTTCATGTAGAAAAAAAGTGAATGTACTGAAGACAAGTTGATTGATAGATAGGTTATTATTTAATCTTCTGAGAACTGTAGTTTTAAGCTTATTTTAATGTTTATTGCTTTGAGGGTGTATTTTAAATGGATTTCTTTTTTGTTTTTAGACGTTCCAAAAGCTTACATTTAAAGACTTAATTAGAATCTTTGTGATGTTTTGGTAATATTTAAAGGAATTGTTGTACAGTATATGAACAAAGTTATCTAGATTCAATTGGTTTGAGTTTGTGTTTTGTCTGTTTTAAGGCAAGGAGGACTGCTTGTTAACTTCCATCCTTCAATTCTGACCTGTCTGCTCCCCCAGCTGACTAGCCCCAGACTTGCTGTGAGGAAAAGAACCATCATTGCTCTTGGTCACCTGGTTATGAGTTGTGGCAATATGGTTTTTGTTGACCTCATTGAACATCTGTTGACAGAGCTGTCTAAAAATGATTCCATGTCAACAACTAGGACCTATATACAGTGTATTGCTGCTATCAGTAGGCAAGCAGGTCATAGAATAGGTAAGTAAAATATATCAATTATCTGTAACTTTAAAAGTTTTCAGATGAGAGTAATTACTTTGCTAATTTTTTTCTCTTACCAGGTGAATATCTCGAGAAAATAATTCCTTTGGTTGTAAAGTTTTGTAATGTAGATGATGATGAACTACGAGAGTATTGCATTCAAGCTTTTGAATCCTTTGTTAGGAGGTAAGTTATTCTTGAGTACCTATTTCAGGCCTTCTTAAGATCTAATAGTGAGCCATTTGGTTGTAAGCTGTCAAGAGACAGTCTCCTTGGGACAAAATATTTTTGCAAGCTTTGAGCTGGAACTGTTCCTGTAACTATCTTGTAACTTAATTGTTAAGCATTGTGTTATGTCTGTAGTTTAGAAACTTTCTACTGTGCCATTACCACTTACGCAAACAGGAGGGGGGAAGTATTCTAGTAATACTTGTTGTCCACTGGTGGTGACAAAAAAATTGATATCCAAAGGCATGTCTTGGTCCTCTGCAACCTTCCAGTCTAGCAGATCCAGTCACATAGTAGCATTGCCCTTTCTGACATTCCTTTCTGAATTTCTGTAATTCAGATGGATGCACTGATGATACTTGGTTTGGCTAATGTCTCCGAAGTACAGTATGTGGCATAAAGTCTTTTAGAAATATTTTAATTCTTCTAAGTAATTTGACATTGATCATATTTTTATATTATGCAGATGTCCTAAAGAAGTTTATCCTCATGTATCTACTATTATAAACATTTGTCTTAAATATCTTACCTATGATCCTAATTACAATTATGATGATGAAGATGAAGATGAAAATGCTATGGATGCTGATGGTGGTGATGATGATGATCAAGGTACATTCTCTTTTCGGTTTGGGGGAGAGGAAGAGCTTGTGGACCTGCGCTCATCTGAGAAAATTGATATGGGTGGTATTGCTACCAAGTACCAGCATTTGAATAACTTGTATATTTCTGTATTCAATTTTCGTACTGTTTTTAAACATACCTTATGAACTGATTTCTTGGAATAAAAGCATAGGATGTTATTGCTGGAGATAAGTAATTCCAAGGGTTAACATAAAGTACAAGACAGATATTTTAAAATAATACTTGAAAAGTGGAAAAAGGCAGAAGCATGTAGGATAATATAACTAAAGTGAGAAGAACATCAGTTAATGAATTGAAAATACGTATTCTGCATGGGAAAGGCTTCTCGCTACTTTCCACTGTAATATTTTGTTACCTAATGCATAAAAGTAGAATAGATTGAAAATTGCAAAATACTCATAGGATAAAAAATGTTTTAGACTGAGAGAGATAAGGTGTTTATGTAAGCTTTATGAAAACTTGGACACACAAGTAATCTGAACCCAGAGCATAACATTCTCATTACTGTAAGAATGAATGAGCTGCATAGTTGTTGCTTTAGTGCTTAAAAAGTCAATTTGTATTGCTGCTTATATTTTTTTTTTATTGTCATTTTGGGGGGCAGAATATGGTTTGATTTACTCCTAGAAAGAAACAAACAGTAATTTGTTGAATCTTGATCAGCTAGTAATTGTTGTTGCATTGTCGCTTATGTCACGAATAAAGAGGAATAGCCTTTAAATCAGTAGTCAGGCTGTAAGCATGATGGGAACCGCCTTGTCCTGTTTGGAGTTTAGATTAATACATATGTAAGACTATTGTGAAAAAAAAATAATCAGAGAAAATAGCTTTATGATTTAGGCAGTTCAGAAGGCTTTTTATGTATGGTTTTTAACATGCTTCTGAATGTATTTCTTCGGTATGCCTTATGCAAAGAACCCAAGTGTGTTCTTATTAATTGTTTAAAATAAAACTTGATGCTTTGATTGTCTAGACTTGAACATATGCATAATTTATTTTTTCAAGGGAGCGATGATGAATATAGTGATGATGATGACATGAGCTGGAAAGTGAGGCGCGCAGCTGCTAAATGTCTGGATGCAGTGGTTAGCACACGACATGAAATGCTTCCAGAATTCTACAAAACTGTATCTCCTGCTTTAATAGCCAGATTCAAAGAACGTGAAGAGAACGTTAAAGCAGATGTTTTTCATGCATATCTTTCTCTTTTAAAACAAACTCGACCTGTGCAAAGTTGGCTTTGTGATCCTGATGCAATGGAACAAGGAGAGACACCTTTGACAATGCTTCAGAGTCAGGTTATTTGTCAAGATTTTGTTACCTTTGAGAATACTCACTGAAGTTGTGCCCTGTTCATAAGGATAGTTCTTGAAATGTGCCATATCATACTTTCTTCATACACAGATTACAGTTTATTACTGTAGTACTAACATAGAGAGCAAGCCAGGTAAACTGGCCCAGTAAAGAACAGCAGTCTTGGAAACTGAAATTGCCAACTCATACAAATGTGCTTATCTGATTTGTTTACCATCACCTGTAAAAGTTGAATGTCCTATGTAGTTTAGCCACATTACCAAAGCAAAATAATTTTGTGCATTCCATAATGCAGATGTCAGCTCTGGTGATCAAGATAAAACTTGATTTGCTATAACATATTTTCTTTGCAGAATAAGAAGGATAGTGCTGAAAAACTTTTTCTAAGTGAATTATTTGGGTGACTTCTCAATTGTTGCTCTCTACAGTTTTATTAATGCAAATCTAGTTTTGCTTTGTTTCAGCTCACCTTTTAAAGTTAAACTACTGTTTTTTGGGGGATAGCAATTGTTTTGAATCTTCATTTCTCAGTGTTTATATAACTTCTCTGTTGCGTAGAGAAGTCAGAGGGGTAGGACGCACAACTTTTTTTATATCCCCCCAGTGATCAAAGATGAAAGAAGTGTCAGCTATTGAATTAACTAACAGATGTGTGATGATTACAGGTCCCCAACATAGTTAAAGCCTTGCACAAACAGATGAAGGAGAAAAGTGTGAAGACTCGTCAGTGTTGCTTTAACATGCTGACTGAGCTAGTAAATGTATTACCTGGAGCTCTAACACAACATGTTCCTGTACTTGTACCAGGTATGAGAAACATATTATTAATTTAAAGATCTATTAGTAAATTGGATGTGAAATTTTGAAGTCTTACAATCGTGACTGTGCTTTTTGCAAAAGCTTTGAAGTGTTGCTTCTATTTAAAGAAATTGGTAAAATTATCAGCTACTGTGTGGATCCATATAAATATTTTAGTGATGTATTTGCATTAATCTTGAAAACAAGGGTTGGCTCTAAGATTGAGATTTTTTTTTTCTTCTATATAAAAGAGTTAATTTGCTTCTTAATTGCAAGATCAAACTGCCTTATTTCTCATCTCAACAGAGCGAAATATTGTCCATATTGTAGTTTTTGGGACTAAAGTGTTGAATTTTGAAGTAACAAGGAAAAGTAAGTTTGGAAAAGTTAAAGGTTCAGAATCCCTTTATAATTAAGAAAATACATCACAAACCATCAAATGGCCCATGTCCTCTGTGTAGAGGAAGCTTGAAAACTAATTGAATAAAATGGTGAAAGGGGCTTGGAAGCATTCAAGAAAGGCTGGGAGCAGGAAAACATAAATTCAGTATACCTGCCTTAGTTGAGAAATTTTGAGGTGTTCTAACAGAATATAAATACCTAACCTAAAAATACATTTTTCTTTTTTCTTCCAGGAATAATTTTTTCACTGAATGACAAATCAAGTTCTTCTAATCTGAAGATAGATGCTTTGTCCTGTTTGTATGTGATCCTCTGCAATCATTCTCCCCAAGTCTTTCATCCTCATGTTCAAGCATTGGTACCTCCAGTTGTAGCTTGTGTTGGAGATCCATTTTACAAGATAACATCAGAGGCACTTTTGGTTACCCAACAACTTGTGAAGGTCATTCGTCCTTTAGACCAGCCTTCTTCCTTTGATGCTACTCCTTACATCAAAGATTTGTTTACTTGTACAATCAAGAGATTAAAGGCTGCTGACATTGATCAGGAGGTGAAAGAAAGGGCAATATCTTGCATGGGTCAAATCATTTGTAGCCTTGGTGACAGCCTAGGCACAGATCTGCCTAGTACACTTCAGATCTTCCTAGAGAGACTGAAGAATGAGATCACTCGGTTAACTACAGTGAAGGCCATGACATTGATTGCTGGTTCTCCTCTGAAGATAGATTTGAGACCAATCCTTGGGGAAGGAGTTCCTATTCTTGCTTCTTTTTTGAGAAAGAACCAGCGAGCTTTGAAACTAGGCACTCTTTCTGCTCTAGATATTTTAATTAAGAATTACAGTGACAGCTTGACAGCTGCCATGATTGATGCTGTCCTGGATGAGCTTCCACCTCTGATTAGTGAAAGTGATATGCATGTATCACAGATGGCCATCAGTTTTCTGACGACACTGGCTAAAGTATATCCTTCTTCCCTGTCAAAGATTAGTGGGTCCATTCTCAATGAACTTATTGGGCTGGTGAGATCACCTCTGCTTCAGGGTGGAGCACTTAGTGCCATGCTAGAATTTTTCCAAGCTTTGGTTGTGACTGGTACAAATAACTTAGGCTATATGGATTTACTGCGCATGTTAACGGGTCCAGTCTACTCGCAGAGCACAGCACTTACTCACAAGCAGTCTTACTATTCCATTGCCAAATGTGTTGCTGCCCTTACTCGAGCCTGCCCTAAGGAAGGACCGGCTGTTGTAGGTCAGTTCATTCAAGATGTCAAGAACTCAAGGTCCACAGATTCCATTCGGCTTTTGGCTTTGCTTTCTCTTGGGGAAGTTGGGCATCACATTGACTTAAGTGGACAAATTGAGCTGAAGTCTGTAATATTAGAAGCATTCTCTTCTCCTAGTGAGGAAGTCAAATCAGCGGCATCTTACGCATTAGGCAGTATTAGTGTTGGCAATCTTCCTGAGTATCTGCCATTTGTCTTACAAGAAATAACCAGTCAACCTAAGAGGCAATACCTTCTTCTTCATTCCTTGAAAGAAATAATTAGCTCTGCATCAGTGATTGGTCTCAAACCATATGTTGAGAACATCTGGGCCTTACTCCTGAAACACTGCGAATGTGCAGAAGAGGGTACAAGGAACGTTGTTGCTGAATGCTTGGGCAAGCTTACGTTAATAGACCCAGAGACTCTGCTTCCACGACTCAAGGGATACTTGGCATCAGGTGAGTAGTAGTAACTCATGTACGTATTGCAGCAAATGGCCTTATGCTATCTATTAATAGATTGATCTAGTTTAGCAAATTTTTTTCTTATATTTTGTTATATTTTTGGGACCTTTCCCCCCCCCCCCCCCCGTGAAGCTTAGTTCCATTTTTACTAGAAGTTGTTAGTCATACATAACACAAATTACTTTTATGTTCTGCTTTCAGAATGTGATATTTCAATTACTGTTGTGATGTTTAACAAAGAGCTACAAACTTAAAGGGGAAGGAGCATGGATGACAAAGGGACAAATTGACAAACCAATTGCAACGTGTTGACCTTTTGATGTAAATTACAATATTCTTAATTTTCAGATAAGAATTCTGAAATTTTTAAGGATTAGGAAGGATCATTATGCATAATTCATGGATCAGTTTCATATTATGAACTGTATTCACATGTTTTCTTCATGTGCTTCTGCTTTAAAGAGGAGAGTTATTTGTAGGCCTATGTGTGATCATAAAAAAAAAATGCGTTCTAACAGGCTTATTACTTGAATTTTCTGTAGCAGATAAGATTAAATGCTTATTACAAATGTTATAATATTTTTCCCCATTTAAAATGTTTTCTCCATAGATTTACTTAGTTACATACTGCATTGCTAGTAATAAATAACGTTTCTTGTTTAGTGTTCTTAAGAGTATTAGAAGTTTAAAAAGAATGGCACTGAGTATGATTTAGATTCTGTAGTTGTACTGTTTTAATGCTACATAGTTCCACTTTTGTTTCATATTAGGGTCCTCGTATGCTCGAAGTTCAGTGGTTACTGCTGTTAAGTTCACTATTTCTGATCATCCACAACCCATAGACCCACTCTTGAAGAACTGCATAGGTAAGTTGTTTACTTTTACTGACAGCTTCTATGTTTTCTGGTAATAGAATTGCATTTAAAATTTGTTCTTTGTATTTTCAGAAGAAAATATTTTACAGGTACTAGAATTAGCTGCTAATGATAACTGTTGGAACAGTTATAAAATGTTTCCATAATAGCCAGTTATTTCTGTTAATCCTAGTTTGTTTGAATTCTGAGCAGTAAAAGTTGTATGATTTAAAATTACATGTATTGAAGCTGTGATGGGCAGTACGAAAATCTAGGGCTTTTAGGAAGGTGGGACCCAAAAGCTGATTTCCTTTCCTATGCTCTTGCCAAATTATACCAGTTTGATGTAGTAAGAAATTGTCTTTACCCAGAAGTCTTGGAAATATTTGACTTTCAGTCACTTAAAATATGTATGCACATGTGAATTTTGAGTATTACCAGGTGGTGAATTGTAAATTTAGGTCCTTAGGATTCTATAATGCTTGTGGTCTGAAAGCATTTGGAAGCATGTATATTTCTACAGGGATAAGGTAATTGGAGCTTTCAGTGTAACATAAGTATGATAAAGAGCTTTGCAATGCTGTGGCTTTTTGATCTTTTCTCATTTGTATGACAAAGTATTGTGGATTTGTTTAATATGCTATGGTGAATGTTTTATAGTGGATTAATTACAGGTGTAAAGATCTGTAAAAAATGATGTATACTGCTAAACCAAAGAGGGGGAAAAAGATTAATCTTTAAAAACATGCAGTTTTGTGGAGAGCAAGGTTTTTATTTATGGGGAAATGGAGTCAGTTCCTATGTGTTATTTTCATCACTAAGCTTAATTTTTTTTTTTTTTAATAATATATTTAAGAATTGATTATGCTTGTGGGTTTTTCCCCCTGCTGTCCCTGTCACTGAAGCTGCCCTGCCCCTTTGGTTTCTGGAAATACTTATTGATTATTCAGTCAAAAAACTATTGGCATCTAGTATTTAAAAAATCTTAGCCATATTTAGTTTTGTTACCAGTTTCTTTTGTGTGTATAGAAGTCACTTTGATGTTTAAACCTTATTGTTCTTCTCCTTTTAAAAATTTCACTCCTCATAGAAGTTGCTAGTAAAACTTCACAAACATTGAGGAAAAATATGATATATTGCTGCAGGCATTTATTTTAACAAGGCACTGTTATAGAACTATAGAAATTCAAATTTGAAAATGCACAAGGGTGGGGTGGGATGAGAGAGGTGTTGCTACGTTAATATATACTGAGTAGGCTTATTTTGTGCTAATTCAGGAATTCTCAGCATAGGCCAATTCAGGGATTAAAAATCAATATGTTGATAGTTTCCTTAAGAGGTGTTCTCTAATTCTTCAACTGCAGAATTGAAATTAGTTTTCTAATGCATATTCTGAGAGACTTTTAATGGAGAAAAGGAAAGGTTAAATATAACTTTCATTAATTTACATGCTATACCTTTAGAAAAAAGTTGAGATATAATTAAATGGCCATTTTTTTGATGGTGGTTTTTCTACTTCTGTTTCATTATATATCAATTATATTAATACTTTTCATATGATTATAATTAATAGATTTATTTGTGTAATCATGCTAAAATACCAGGTATTTGTCTCTGTTAGATGAAAATAACTCCTGCACTAAATACATCCTTTTGAAAGGTTAAAACTAAGCAAAGCTATTTTTAAAGTAGCAAATGAAAAAGATCCTCATAGGTTGATTTATTTCTGTACATGATTGCAGGTGATTTTCTGAAAACGCTGGAGGACCCAGATCTCAATGTCAGGAGAGTAGCCCTAGTGACATTTAACTCAGCTGCACACAATAAACCATCATTAATAAGGGACCTCTTAGATACTGTGCTTCCTCATCTTTACAATGAAACAAAAGTCAGAAAGGAATTAATCAGAGAGGTATGTTAACTAAGAAAACAGTGCTAAATATATGCAAGTAGATTCTTTGTTTTTCTAAATATATTACTTCATAACTTTGTTCTTTATTTGCTGACAGGTGGAAATGGGACCATTTAAGCATACAGTTGATGATGGGTTGGACATAAGGAAAGCCGCTTTTGAGTGCATGTATACTCTTCTGGATAGCTGTTTGGATAGACTAGATATATTTGAATTCTTAAACCATGTTGAAGATGGCCTGAAGGATCACTATGATATTAAGGTTAGCTGTCATTTTTCTCTGTGTAAGCAGTGACTTCATCAAAATATTTTAAATAGTGAATAGACTGAAATGGTAAAAATATTGCTTCATATGCTTAAGTACTTCAGTATATTTGCCATTTTCATTAAAGTGTTGCTGTTAAAAAGCTTACACAGCATTGTAGGAAATACATTTCCATATATGTGCTGAGCATAACTAATTGTTGAATTGTTTCTTTCTCAACCTAGATGCTAACCTTTTTAATGTTGGTGAGACTGTCTACCCTTTGTCCAAGCGCAGTGCTGCAGAGGTTGGATAGGCTTGTTGAACCTTTGCGTGCTACGTGTACAACTAAGGTATTTAAATTTAAACTTAGTTTTTTGTGTTGTCTTATAGAAATATAAATGAACTTGCCTATGAAGAATACTTCTGTACTGCTGCAACGTTTCCTGAGTTATAGTTGATAAGCTGCAGCAGGCAGAATAATATAAATATGTGGGCCTTTATACATGTATTACATTTATTACAAATGGAGGGGTAGACTTGTTAGCTTCTTTTTAAAAATCCTCTGATTCTTTGATGCCATTTCTTTTGTTTCTTAAAAATTTAGCTGTCACTTGGGCAACTTGTCTCACTTCATAGTGGAACTGGAATACTGAGTTTTTCTGACTTCTAATGATTACGTTGTTTCAGACAAACATTTGGGTGATGAAGGATGGAGGCAGTGTAAAATAGTCCTATTTTTTTTGTTTTTTGTTGGTTTTTTTTTTCCCTTCATCACTTATATTACAAGATTCTTGGGTCTTGGCATAGTCTCCTTCCATTCATGCTCTCATATTGATCCACCTGCGTGCTCTATGGTCATCTAATGCCTCATTTACCTTGCTTTTCCATTACTGTAGTCTGTTATATTTCACATCAAGATATTTGTCTGCTTTTATTGATAATGTTTTTATCACTGAAACATCTTTGAGAATTACAATAGAAGTTTAAGCAGTTATTCTAATGGAGGTCAACTTTTTTAAAAAGTTCTATTCTCTGGAAGCTGGGAGTACTGTGATAGTAGCAGTTTAATGTCATTTACTGACCTTACCAGTTAGAGGTTGGCTGCTATAATTGTTTTGATTTGGTAATTGACTTGGTAGCTTACAACCTTTTTCTGCTTACCTCACAGTATTCAAGTTTTGGTCTATTTGTAAACTGCTGGTTAGAAGTCTGCTAAGAAGTAGATGTTTGGAGCTTTTTTGTTTGTTTGTTTGTTTGGTCAGGGGTTTGTTAAGAGCTTGGGCCATTTTGTAAGCTGTGCAAAATGGTAGTATGGAAGGAAATAAGTCTTTGTAAGATACTTTTTTTTTTTTTTTTAAGGTGGGTGTAGAGGGAGGGTTAAGCAAAAGTTTCAAACATACTTTCGTTTTTTCCCTAGGTAAAGGCAAACTCGGTGAAACAGGAGTTTGAAAAGCAAGATGAACTGAAACGTTCTGCTATGAGGGCAGTAGCAGCGCTTCTAACCATTCCAGAAGCAGAGAAGAGTCCATTAATGAGTGAATTTCAGTCACAGATAAGCTCTAACCCTGAGCTGGCAGCCATCTTTGAAAGTATCCAAAAAGATTCATCATCCACTAACTTGGAATCAATGGACACTACTTAGATGTTTGTCCAAAATGGGGACCATTATGTTGAACCATATGATGCACTGAATTGACAGGTTATGAGTAAGAAACAGAAAAAGTATCTAATCTACACATTGTTCCACTTTATTTACCTTTATGGAGACAGTTGGCTTTTCCCATTGTTGCTTTTCTAGCATTTATTCCAGAAATGTATTTCCATAATCCAGAGTTTGTTAACCACTCTCGTTTTAGTGGATTTGGCCACATTTGGGAATCAAAAAGTTGACGCATGGTGTATGGAAATTTAGGTTCCAACATCCATTTGCCCTGTAATGTTTAGGATTAAAATGTCAAAATTTTGTGACCATGATTTTTTTTTTCTTTTATTCACTCTTTCTACTTGTAAACAAAAAAGGGGGGGAGGTGGGAATCAAGCATCCAGGTGCACCATGTTTTTGTATAACTTTTTATTCTTTTTTGTTTCAGCTTCATAAATTGGTTTGGCTGGCAGATGAATTCTGTGTAAGATTTATTATATTAAAGAGAGGATATGGGCACAGTTCAAAAAAAGCAGACATAAATGTCATTTTTTAAAGGTGTGGGGATTAGAAAACAAATACCCCTGTTGTGCACACTAATTTTGCATGAGCGAGTTTACAAATATATATTGTCTGTAAAACAGCATGTGCAGTTTATTCGTAATGCAAGTTAAAGTAAGTTCTACTGTATCAGTGCAGTTTTCAGGTATTTTGACATACAGACCATTCATACAGAAAAGGATGAATGAAGGTTGGTTGTCTTAACCTGGCTTTTTTAAATGCCGGTGGTATGACCCTGCAGATGTTCTTACAGTAAATTTGACAATTCCTGCAGTTTTCATGGTTTTTCATTCCCAAAGGCTGGATCCCCTGGAATTAAGGTGGACAAACCGAAGATCGGAGGGAAATAGGATGAGATGGAGGTAAAATGAGCAGAGAACAACAATAGCTGCTCAGTGGCTCCTAAGCTTTGGATTCAACTTTGTTTTTGTTATAAAAGTATGAAAGGAAGTTTCTTCAGTGGCTGCTACCTCCTATTCTTCATCCAACAGCTTTTTGTTAAGGCACTAATATATGGTGTCACCTAGACAAGTATTGCCAGACCATCATTTTGTGCCTGTCAGAATGTTTTCTGGCACATGGAACCACCAGTAGATTGCAGTGCTGCAAGTGTCATATGGTATTCTGGTGAGATAGGAAACAGGGAATGGTCATCAGACTGGGGCAAGATAGAAAGCAAACAGATACAAGAAAAAATCTGCCATGAATATGCTGAAGTAATCTAGAAGCGGACCAGAAGGTGATAGCTGGCAGTCCCGCAATGAACTGGATTTGGGAAATTAATAGCAAAAGATGGGGAACCGCTGCCTCAAATTGAGACTTGTCGTTACTTGGTTAATGCAATTGCTTAGTTGTCTTTTTTTTTTAGTCAGATCTGAATTTGATTTTTCTCTAGTTAACTAGTATTTTTTAGCTAGTTTGATATTTTGGGAACCTGTTACATGGATACCTGGCATAAGCTGCTACATGAGTAAACAAACATACATTTTTATGACCTCAGAGACAGTTTCCTGTGAGCACTGGTGTTTCGGGGGCAAATTCTTCACCTTATGCGCTTGCAGCTTGGGAAAAGCAGGGGAGATATTGGTGCATTTTACTTTAATAAAAGGACCTGAATGAAGAAATCTATGAACTCATTCAGTAGTAACAATTTTAATGCTGTAGAAATTTTTGAAATTGTAGCTTTCTGTCTCCAAACTCTTCATACTAATGTAACAATTGTCTTCTAGAAGTAGAAATAAACGAGATTAAACGTACCAACATATCTAAATGTCATGAAAAAGAATGGGATAACTCGAGAGAGAAACCATATGGTAGAAAAAGCACCGTGAATTAGGTGCATTTTATGTTGCTGTATAACTCATCTACTTCAATTACAGCAATATACAGGCCTCCTAATTAAGAATCCGTTGTGCTAATTAATTGTCAAACTAATCTTAGAACTTTTGCGTTAAGTTTTCAGAGTGTGTTAAAATGTTTTATAGACGTAAAGGTAGGTGTGAGAATGGTATGATAAACATGAAATGTGAGGCCAAAATATGTAAATGGAGTAGGTGACAATGGTAAGTAAACAGAATACTTGTATTCGTAGTTGGGAGATTTGTGTGTGTTTATGTACTACCATAAAGCCTAACATGATGGATGCAAATAATCTTCACTTTGTTTTACAGTATATTACAGTGGAGCAAGCTTAAGGACAGAAGAGAAGGTTGAGCTATATTATTACGTAGTGAATGCTTTCTTGCAAGAGAGTAATTTTCACTTTGACCACTGATGAAGCAGGTGGGAACGTAAGAATTAAGTCTTCCCTGTAAGTTACAGAAATTCTAAGAGTATGGTTCTCTCCAAGTAGCAGCTGGTTATTTCAGTGATGCAGGAAGACAGACTCAAAGGTTGTAACTGCACCATAATTACTGAAATTATTTATTAGTTTTATAAAATCTAACCAGGTTAGATGTTCAAATTCCACTGGCTCACTGGATTGCTTGATTGGAAGTTAGGGGTTTTTTTCCTTGTTTTCCCCACTGTATATCCAAGTATTTGGGTAAACCTGGTGTATTTATGCTTGTTTAGGTTCAGGGAAATCTGTCAGGGATAATGTCAGGAATACCTGTAGCTGTTCTTTAAATGTTAAATTTTAAATGCTCAATTCACTAAAACAAAACCAGAATTGTGAAAGGCTGCTCTTAAAGATTTTTGGTATAATTAGAACTTCCTCTAGTGTTTTTCATCATTTTGCACACAGGCAATTGAGACCAATTAATAAGCTTGCACATAATATAGAAATGGTTGGCCACTCCTTGCATTGTAGAGTCTTGCCTTTAAATATTTTTGTATCTCAAAAATACTTAATGCTCTGATTTTCCTTGAAAAAATCTTGCCATCCTTGCAAGGGAGGTCTTTTCTAAAATTATAATTTGAAAAGTACAAGTACCTTAAGAATGCTGCACTTCAGTTATGTAAATTTATTTTTTAATATAATATTCCTTCAAAATGTTACATCTAATATAGCAGTTGACAAAATAAAAAGACCTGAACTACTTCCAGATTGTATTTTTATGAGGTGAACAAAGCAGTACATGTGCACGTAAGCAGCATTGCTTCTCTCAAATGAAGGATTATTTTAACATTTCATCAATTCAAATCAGAAAAATGAATTAAAAGTTCATATCTGCTACTATTGTATTTGGCTTAACAGATATACTCAGTAGTGATGCTAGGAACAAGTTCACCCTGCTCTACTGGACTAGTTAGTAGTGATTTAGCAACTGTTCTCATATTTACTGGTACTTCCCCTTCCTTGCCTCCCCTTGAGATGACTTTAAAAGCAAAGTAACATGTGGCCTTGGAAGTGTGTGGGGTTTTTTGGTTTTGTTGTGTTAATCCTGATCATTTTGACTGAAATGACACTTTTTTCTGCCAAATACAAAATGGTTAAGCCTTCAACCTCTGGATTTTATTTCCCTGTTGCTCTAAACTTCAGATAAAAAGTACTTTTTTTGTTGCTACTGTTCTTAAAATTAATTTCAGAGAAATGAAAAGTACTAGTCAGCTTATTACTTTTTTTTGTCCGTGTTTCCTCCTTGCTGTGAGATGGGAAGGTTTGCTTGCTGCACTACTGAACACGAACAGGCAGGCGTTGTGACAGCGAGCATTGCCCCCCGCTTTGGAAGAGCTCTTCAGTATAGACTTATAGCTCTTACACTAAAATTGACCTTTTTCATTGGTATCCATTTATAATTTTTCATTGTATCTGAGTTTGGGGGAGGAGAAGGAAATCAGAGTTCCTGAGAATAATGAAGTAAGTTAATCTTCCATGACCAGTGTTGGTGAAGTGGGGAAATTTTCTGCAAGAGGTGCTTTTGTGAGGATCAGGCAATTTTGTCTTGGTAGGGAGTTAGACTTCTTTTAGATTCGTTTCCACCCCATGAGGCTTTAATGTTTCCACATAATCTTTGATGAGGAGAAAACTGCCTTCAGAAAGGTCATCCATCCCCCAAAACAAACAAAAGGGTTTCTGTTGATTTTAGTCTATATATTGTGGTTTAGAAGATAACCTTGAACCAGAGAAGAAATGAGCGCATTTCTGAGAACCACGCAGACACTGGCTGGAAGACAGATGTTACCTGAAATGTAGCACTGAAAGAGAAAATGAAATCTTAGAGAATATTTTCATGTTAAGTAATTCTCCTTTCTTTTGTGTTCTGCCGTTGGTCATATTTTTGAATAATGGGAAATACAGAAGGAAAAAAAAGTAATTGGCAAGCTGTGAACTTCTGTGATCCCAGAACTTAAGGGGTAATAGCTATTCCCTGCTGCTTCCTTTTTAAAAAAAAAAAAAATCCAACCAGAGGTATTTTGACAAAAGTACATAGTAATTCCTAAAAGATTTTTATTCTGAAGGAGTTAAAAGTGGGTTTTTTTATTACATTTTCATTATTTTTTTTGTTTTATTCTGAAGAAATTCTTTCCCTTCACACATGGATTTCTCCCACCTGACAATTATGAGGCAGTTCAATATGGCTGCTGGCAGACTTTAGGAAGTAAGCTGTGTCACTTGGCTCAGTGCAGTAAGGATATTCCTATAGCAGAAAAAGTTTGCAATTCACTGTTTCCAATTTTTTTATTAATAGATTAAAAAAACCCAAAACAGTTCACATATGACTGTAGTTTCCTTTCAAACTCCAGCCTTTCTTCTCTTCAACTGAACAAATATTGGACTCTTAATCATCTGATTGCTGTTATTTTGGATGCCACCCTTCCTGGGGATTCTTGATGTTGTAATCTCAAGTCCTTTAGGGGACCTTTTTTTTCTTTCTCCAGTCCTTAATAAGATCATTTGCTAGAAGGCTCAGGTTTATCTCCCGTATCTGTGACATTTACATTGTGCATGAAGACAATTCTTTCATGACTTGCATGTAATATCCATTTTATGGAGGGATTTCTCAGAGGGACACTATGCTTAAATGCAGCTGAATGCCTTTTTTGAGCAAGTTCATAGTTTAGCCACTCCACTCTGCAGTGAAAATCCAGTATGTCTAAAATTCACTGGAATTTAGAGTATTTAAAAAAATTAATGCACATTTCCTTATTTAAAAACATACCTAAAGAAAAAATAAAACAATTTGTTCCATGTGCAGCACAGCTAATGGCTCAATGTAAATTTTTCTCTTGCCCCTCAATTTCTTAATGCTTGCACCATATCAAATGATCTGCAGGTCTAGACCAGCTTGCCAGTAAGAAGGTGTTTTGCGTTGTAGCAGCTAAGTTCTGCCTACTGATGGAACGTGTGGGAGGAGCTACTTTGATTCGTTTCCCTCCACAGCTACTGATCTTCACACAGATGGCAAACTTTGAAATGTCAGCCATGTTCGACAGAAGGGTAAAAACTGTCCAGCATTTAAAAAAACCACCCTGGATTTCCCATCATCCTGATTACTTTTCAGAGTCGAACAACATTACTGTATTTTTTTCCAAATGCAAAGGTGATCAAATGAGTCTTTATTAGGAGGAAGATACTAAATTTCAAGTGACTGAGTTGTACTGAGTTCTTGTTTTTCCTAACACTGCAGGTTGAAAACCCGTATCTCTGGGTTGAATCATGACTTGCTTACAAAAACCACCTCATCATCAAGACTAGAAGTGTGGAACTGAAGCTGCAGATGGACGAGATGGTTGATTTTAGTACCTGGGCAGGGGGCAGCGAAAGTGAAACATTAAACTCTGTGCTGCTTTCTCACATGGTACCAATCTTGGCATATAAAGTGGGTTGAATTCAGCTCTAATAAAATGGTAGAACATTTGTATCTCCAGGTAGCTGATATGAAGGATTAAAAAGCTGTTTGACGTGGAAGTTTATACGCTATTCTGTTTTGATTTTTGGAGAGTATGTATGTAGACACAGCAACCTTAGTTGCAGGTCATTTTCTAAGAAGTTGACAATTTTTTTTCAGTTCTTCTTCACTCTCAACTTTTTAAGCGGAAAAAACCACAATTCTGTAATTTTGTAGTGGTGTTGGTATTTGATTTCTGCACGACTATCCTTTTTTCTTTTTCTTTTTTTTCCTTTTAAATCTTTCCACGAAGAAAAAAAGTCTAAAGTAGAAGTTTGGCTGAGTGTCTTTCAGTCTTGTGCATTCAGTTGTTCTATGTGGAGTCTTAAAAGGAAAATGAAGAGAGGTTATTTATCTGCAGAGAAAATAATGTTTTCTTAGTGGTTTGAATAGATGTATTCAGTCGAAACAGTTGGATATCATCAAGAGCTATGTAAGGACGAAGAATTTTCTGAAATTGTAAAAATTTCTGGTTGTTCTTGAATGATTTATTTCAGGTCTTTTGGGTGGCTGAACATGGCTGAAAGCTAAAAGGAGGGCAAGGGCTGGCTATCACATACAAATGTGAATCTACGTTATACTGCTGTTTAGCAAACGGTTAATATTTGTTGGTCTGGTTTTTCTTAGTACTGGTGTCATTAGGTATTTATTGCTCCAAGACTCCTCATAGCTTAGCTATCAACAAAATATTCTACACATTATCAAAGTTCTCTTTGATTAAAGGAGGATGAGTTTGAAGAATGGTTTGGGAAGAGCGCAGAAACAGTTGGGCAACTGACTGGGTTTGGTTTTTCCCATATATCTTTTAAATTACAGAAGGATGGGAACGAAGAAGGTCCATTGGCACGTTTAGGCACTTCTATAGAAGGAGGTCAAGAGCAGCACTGCAAAATATAATGAATTTTCTTTGGTCAAAGTGGTTTGTATTTGCTGTCCTGGGGTGCAGTGAGGGTCCATGGTTGTGTGTAGTATGGATGCTGAGCAAAATACACTGTTGTAAGGTGGGGACAATATGGTGCAGAAAAAAATCTGGTCATGTCTACTTCATCATTCAATTCGCATTGCAACAGGTAAGTAAGTAGATGGAAGGGAGCTGTGTTTTACTTGAGATAGTGGAGTTATGCTCATTTGCAGGTGTATCCAGTTTGCTGTAAGGATGCAATACTCTTTTGACATGTGTTTTTAATTGTACTTTTAGTAAGTGCACAATTGTATTTCAAGGGGAAGGTTCATCCTAAAAATTGGCTTGCTTCACTGTTCTCGTTTTGGAGAATTCACCTCAAATAATACAATTTTAAATAATTCCTCTGGCAGCATTTAATAGCTGAAACGAAGAGTTAATAATACTTCTAATCATTCCAATAAATGAAACTTATTTCCAAAAAAGGAAGCTTTAAAATGCTGCTATGCTAACTAATGAAGTAGAGCAAGCAACCACAATGCACAGTTCCCAGGATCAGCTAAAACATTGAGTTAGATGTTCTTCTTACCTCCTGCCTTCGGAAGTGGTAAAGAGCAAGTGGGAGAACACTTTACTCTTATGGTCATCTCCTTTATTTGAATTTTAACATGGTCTAGTGGATGAATGTTATTTGAAACCAAGAATGCTTATGCTTTTTAAAAAAATACATTTATTTGCAGACCATATTTAGCAACCTGTTTATATCAGCTTTGAAGGAAGCTACTTTTCTCCTCAAAGTGACCTGCCGCTGCTGTAGACTACAACTAATACTTGAACACATCAAGGAGCAATCTCTCTGGCTAGTGCTTTGAAAAGGCAAAGAATGTAATACAAGATTTAAGTATTTATTTGCAAAGTTAGCCTTAAATGTCACCACATTGTTTCTGTGCTGTTGTACTGTTTGTTTGCAAGAGAAAAGTTCCAACGCATGCACTGTAAGATTGTAAACAGATGACATCTTTTATTGTAAATGTTTGTTTGCTTTATGTCACTACAAAACCCAGTCCTGCTTGCCTTGATTATATCTTGCATACTTTTCTGTAGTTTTAGCCAGAGTTCAGCCTATAGCAATAAAAGCAGAATTCGTTTCTGACAAAGCTAATGTTACGGAAACAGAGAAGCCCTAGGAAATGTCTGAGGTCTGCATGCAGAATAGTATGTTTGACTACAAAGATGTCATAGTTAATGCACTCCATTTTGCAGACCAGCTATTTCTTTGACGAAGTAGTGGAAATAGATTTATTAAAAGTACAGTATCTGAGAACAGCATCAGAAGCATCTTTGATTAATCTGTTCTTACAGCTGGTCTATTCACAAGAAGAGTCTATTCACAGTGAAGTCTGTCTTCATTGCTCATCAATGGCCTTTGCTGAAGAAAAATCCAAATGTTTCTGCCTGGCTGTACCAGTAAATACACTATCCTATGTCAGTAAATACAGCACAGTGCTGAAGGTTATTTTTGTGCTCAAAAGCAAGATGCTGCACTGTGTACAAGGTATTCATGTAGCCCCAACTTACCCATTTGACAGGGGTTTATGAGTAAAATTTTAGTGATTGCAGACACTACAGTTTTTCCAGAGGGAGACATGATGGCCCAAGACTACTATATTACATTGATTAGATCATAAAAATAACTGTAATTTTTCCTTCTTTGTGCATTTTTCAGAAAGAGCCTTAAATATCAAGCCCTGAAACCTTTTAATGAAAGAAGAGTTGTTTTAAATAACAAGTATTTTAATCCTGTAGCTGTATTTTTCATTGTCCTCTGAAAACTGTAGAGTTGGATGTGGTAACGAGTGTACTGCATACAATCCCACTCAATGGAATAATACACAAATAATGTTAATACTTTTGGAAACAACTATTGTTTCTTCATGATAACTTCAGTAGTCACCCCAGATGATAAAGTACATTCTTTATGCCACATAACAAATTTTTCAGAATGCACCATGAACATAACAAAGTACCTAGGAGTATTAACATCATATATAGCTGCAGGATTAAAATACCTGCTTGCTAGTAATTCTTGGTTAATGTGCTCTGTTCTTTCGAGTGGCTCTCGTAATTTAGCATGCTAAAATCTCCACTAGATACCTGTGCTTAGGTATACACATGTATCTGAGAATGGGTGAGTTTTTTCTGTTTTTTCAATCTTTCAATTTTTTAAATTTTTTGAAGCTACAGTTCCTCCTGGGTGCAAGTGGTCAGTATTGCATTTGTGGAAGTTATTTCGGTCATCTGAAAAAAATGAGTTCTTTAGTGTTTTTCCAATGCCAAGTGTTAAATAAAACCATATCGTAATCTGTTATTTTTAAAAGCTAAAATTAATTCTGATGAGCATTTTTATGTGAAAGTAGCTTTATTACTATTAATTTCTCAGTGTTTTTGTAAAGAAATCAAACAAATGTAAAATAACTTGGTGGTGGTATTTTAATTTCATCATAGTGTTAGCCTTTTGGGCACTCTGGTTTTACACCCTCTGACTTGAACCAGAAACCCTTTTTAATTCCTGTCTGGATCAACAGATGGCCAGATCTGTTTGAGCAGGTCTGTGCTGCTCCACTGCTGGTTCTATAATTGTAAATCTTTGCCACAAAAATAGAGCATAAATGATTCCTCTCAAACAGCTAGGGTATAGCTAAAATCAACCTCTCCATTTTTTCCCTGTGTTTATTATAACAGTTCACAGTACGTCTACTGAGGAAAAAAAGTTTAATACAGTTTTTTGTCCATCCGGTTACTTCACCTTGTTGCACTGTCATGGCAGAATCTAGTGTATTAGCTGGCTGCATGAGCACAGCTAAATGAAAATTAGATTTCAGGAGCAATTCCAGCAAGTTATTTTCTTCCAGGAGATGGCGCAGTAACCTCATTAACCAATGCCACACAAACGGGGGGAAACCGGCAAGATTTCTTCACAGGGAAGAAATTGCAGGTATTTGAAGAATGGGTTTGAAATGGATCTTGTAATTGTCTTTGTCTTGACAAGATACTGAAGCTTTCTGTTATGACCGGCTCGCTTCAGAGTTCCTTTTCAATCTTTCACAAGTCGTTTCTAAACTTCCGTGAAGTTTGGTGAAGTTTGTGCAGGTAGGTGGTCATCACGGCGAAGTTCCAGCCAGGGCTTTGCTGGAGGTATGGTCTGGATGGCTTGGCACTGCTGCAAGCAGTGGAATAAACCACTGGGCCCCATCAGCTGAGTTACATGGCTGAAAAATCAGATTTCGTAGCATAATTCCATGTTTTCTTTCTACCTTGCTAATGATTTCCCTTCTCCCAGGCTTTCAGCAGGCAGCTGTAATGGGAATGGTGGCCCTTAACACGAGAGACCTAACAAAACTAGGGATCACGTTCCGGTGAGCAGACTGATGGTACAGCAGCATTTGCCTTCCTCTGAGTGCATTAACTTCTTACCTGAAAGTGCTAAAATTGAGGTAAAATTTGGGTAAAAATCTACTGGTTTGCTTTTCAGGTCTAGAATTTAAAAAAAAAAACGGGGGGGGTTGTGCATTTTTAATTTATATTTCTATTCTAAGTTACCATGGCTACTGAGAGCTTTTTTTTATTGGGCTAACCAACAAAATCCTTGCGGACGACGCCAAGCTGTGTGGTGCGGTCGATGCGCTGGAGGGCAGGGATGCCGTCCAGAGGGACCTGGACAGGCTTGAGCGGTGGGTCTGGGGGAACCTCATGAAGTTCAGCAAGGCCAAGTGCAAGGTCCTGCACACGGGTCAGGCAATCCCAAGCACAAATACAGGCTGGGCGATGAGCGGGTTGAGAGCAGCCCTGAGGAGAAGGACTTGGGGGTGTTAGGGGATGAAGAACTGAGTGTGAGCCGGCAATGTGCGCTCGCAGCCCAGAAAGCCAGTCGTGTTCTGGGCTGCATCAAAAGCAGCGTGACCAGCAGGTCGAGGGAGGGGATTCTGCCCCTCTGCTCCCCTCTCCTGAGACCCCACCTGCAGTACTGGGTTCAGCTCCAGGGTCCCCAACATAAGAAGGACATGGACCTGCTGGAGCGGGTCCAGAGGAGGGACACGAAGATGATCAGGGGCTGGAGCACCTCCCCGATGAGGACAGGCTGAGAGAGTTGGGGTTGCTCAGCCTGGAGAAGAGAAGGCTCCAGGGAGACCTTGTTGTGGCCTTTCAGTATATAAAGGGGGCTTGTAAGAAAGACAGAGAAAGCCTTTTTATCAGGGCCTGTAGGGGTCGGACAAGTGCTCACAGTTTTAAACTGAAAGAGGGTAGATTTAGATTAGATGTAAGGAAGAAGTTCTCCCCTGTGAGGGTGGTGAGGCAGTGGAACAGGTTGCCCAGAGAAGCTGTGGCTGCCCCATCCCTGGCAGTGTTCAAGGTCAGGCTGGATGGGGCTTTGAGCAACCTGGTCTGGTGGAAGGTGTCCCTGCCCATGGCAGGGGGGTGGAACGAGATGATCTTTAAGGTCCCTTCTGACCCAAACCATTCTGTGATTCTGTGAATTTCAAAAAGGAAAAGAAACTTGTTTTTAAATATGCACTAGTTAACTGCTCCATACTTAATACAAACCAATTCTGTATTTATTAGCATGTGTGTGCTGTTTCTAGAAGAACCAAAGCATATAAAGCTACGGGGAATGTCATAAACATGCCATGCTTGAGTGCTCTCAGCTATCAAGAACTGAATGGGTAATTTTAGATGTACAAGCAGGCAATAAGGAGCTTTTTTCAGGCTTCAGATGTATCCTCTTATTGTGGAGGTCCAATACAATACAGCAAATACTGGAATACGCGTAAATTGTTCATTTAAAAAAACCCTGTGTCTAGCTGGCAATGCAAAAAACCTCTCACTGAGTTTATGTAATGTTGAAAGTCAATGGGAAGAAAGATAATTTGAAGTTTAAATTCTTTTCTAATAACTGAAATTCATTTTGAAACAGTTCGTACTGGTGTAACCAGTGGCAACAATTGAATGCAATTCAGCTAGGAGCTGAATGGAACAGCCGTAAAGGCTGGTTTGATTACATGTTTACAGGCTCTCTGCTCCTTTCACTCGGGAACATCACTGCTGTAACGGGTGGGAAAAG